TGTTTGAGTGGCTCAAGAGCCCTGGCTGCTGGCTCAGGGGTTACCGTGGAAAGCCTGGGGTCAGCCCAGCACTTCCCCGAGTGTATCAAGCTTCTGGGACCCTGTTCCCGGCCCCTCTACACCCCACCCTGACCCCACAGACCCTCATGAGTGTGGGCACCCCTGGGAGACAAGAGAGTGAGTAGATGAAAGCTTGGTAGATAGAAGAGTGATACTGGCGTCAGAGAGACCAGCCCTGGCCCTCCACCTTCACCTCTCTGAGCCTCACCTGTGAGACGGAGACCCAGGGTGGGCCTGAGAACTGAACAGAAAAATGCACTTAGCGCTCTCCGCTGCCGGCTCTGCACACAGTGAGCGAGTGATACGCGTGGTGAGGACGAAGCAGACGCCGCTGCTGAAGACGACTCGGGGCAGAGCCCTCCGGAGCTGCTGCAGCACAGCCTCTCTCGGAAATGGACTCTGAGATGAAGAGCAGCCTCTCGGTCGTACGGCCGAGAGCTGTTAGGAGCCACACCTGTGCGGGGGCGGGGGAAGGGTGGACGCAGGATTGCATAAGGGAAGAAGTGGAGGCTTCAGCTGACTCCAGGGGCTGGGAGCTGGGGCGGGGGCGGGGATGCTTCGGTGTTGTCCTTGTTGGGGGGAGGGGCCAGACATTTATACCACTAAGTTGATCACTCACCCACTGTGGGACGGCCCAGGAGGGAGGCGAGATCTTGCTCCAGGCAGGTTTCTTCAGCTCAGCCCAGCCTCACGGGCCACGTGCAGGCTGCGGTCTGACCATGCTCTTAGCACCAGGGATGATGAATCCTTCTTTCCTAAGGGGGTCTGAGCAGCTCCTGGTGATGCCCGCCCCAGAGGTCCTTGAGCGAAGTGGTTCTCAAACTCACATCACCTGGAGGCTGTGTTAAACCATCACTGGAGCCCCAAGTGCTAGAGTTTCTGATTCAGTGGGTCCCAGGTGGGCCCGAGAATTTGCTGCCAGGTGGTGATGCTGCTGCCACCCCAGGGGACCACATTCTGAGCACACTGTTCTAGTCTCATCTTTTTAAACCCGGCACACAGAGTATTATTTGGGGACTGTGTGAATATCCTGCTCCTCAAAGACCTCTCACCCAATGGTTTTAGCATCTATTGACTTGCAGGTGTCCATTATTCTATCAGTGGTTGCAAATGGTGCTTTGCTAATTCTCTAATTCCTTCTGGATTAGAGGAGCTTTCTCTCTCTTTACTTTACCCTTTAGACCAATGGCTCTGTATTTGAATTACCTGCGAGCTTTTAAAAATGATTAGTGCCTGCATATATACAATGGAATATTACTGAGCCATAAAAAGAAATGAAATTGAGTTATTTGTAGTGAGGTGGATGGACCTAGAGTCTGTCATACAGAGTGAAGTAAGTCAGAAAGAGAAAAACAAATACCATATGCTAACACATATATATGGAATCTAAAAAAAAAAAATGGTTCTGATGAACCTACGGGCAGGACAGGAATAAAGATGCAGACGTAGAGAATGGACTTGAGGACACAGGGAGGGGGGAGGGTAAGCTGGGCTGAAGTGAGAGAGTGGCATGGACATACATACACTCCCAAATGTAAAATAGATAGCTAGGGGGAAGCAGCTGCATAGCACAGGGAGATCAGCTCAGTACTTTGTGACCACCTAGAGGGGTGGGATAGGGAGGAAGACGCAAGAGGGAGGAAATATAGGGATATATGTATATGTATAGCTGATTCACTGTTACACAGCAGAAACTAACACACCATTGTAAAGCAATTACACTCCAATAAAGATGTTAAAAAAAAAGAAATGATTAGTGCCTGCCCTCCAAATTCTGATTTAATTGGTCTGGTTGGGGCTTAAGCATCAATTTTTTTTAAAGCTCCCAGGTGATTCTGCTGTGTAGGCTGAGAGCCTGCTCTGGGTATTGCAGAGCCATGGAAGAATTTGACGCAGGAGAGCGAAGACCCCGTTGGAGTTTTAGAAGAGGCCCTGCAAGGAGGGCTGGGGGCAGGGAGCTGAGCAGAGTGAGAATGCTGCTGCAAAATCCTGCTGAAACACCATGAAGGGGAAATCAAAGGAATAAAGTTCATGTGCAGAAGCATTTAGATGCTGCAGTCCTGGGAGATGTCTTTGAGGAAGTTGTGGGCTGAAGTTAATAAGAAATGAAGAGATAATCTCTTTCATATATGTGACTGGGCCTGCGTGTCTAGCGTTTTTGCGTTCCTCAAAACTACCAAACGTAAAATAGATAGCTAGTGGGAAGAAGCCGCATGGCACAGGGAGATCAGCTTGGTGCTTTGTGACCTAGATGGGTGGGATAGGGAGGGTGGGAGGGAGGGAGATGCAAGAGGGAAGAGATAATGGGAACATATGTATATGTATAATTGATTCACTTTGATATAAAGCAGAAACTAACACACCATTGTAAAGCAATTATACTCCAATAAAGATGTTAAAAAACAAACAAACAAAAAAAATCACACTTAGAAACGTCTGGGAAGACAGAGAAGGACCAAGGGTGAGGGTGAGGCGTGTGCCCTCACCTCGTTTGCTCTCCAGCCCCTGAGCAGCCAGCCATCTAGCCCCACCCCGGAAAGCAGCATTAAGACACAAGAGGGAAAACGATCCTTTTGGCTTAAGGTTCTTATTAGTCATAAGATTACTCATTGTGGGGCTTCCCTGGTGGCGCAGTGGTTGAGAGTCTGCCTGCTGATACAGGGACGCGGGTTCGTGCCCCGGTCCGGGAAGATCCCACATGCCGCGGAGCGGCTGGGCCCGTGAGCCATGGCCGCTGAGCCTGCGCGTCCGGAGCCTGTGCTCCGCGGTGGGAGAGGCCACAGCAGTGAGAGGCCCGCGTACCGCAAAAAAAAAATAAAATAAGATTACTCGTTGTGGTTGGCCTTATGCTGCTATTTATTTAAATTACACTTACAGCTATCAACCACGGCGTGGAGGTGGGAGCCCAGGATTTGGGGGAGGGTGTTACACTGCCCAGCGCCCCGGCAGAGTGTGACGGGACTGTGGCTGCCGGGGCTGAGCCCATCGCCCCCGGACATACAGACTCCAGGGCAGCTCAGGAAGGCCCATCTGGGTGATGGGGTCTGGCTGGGCGTCTCTCCTTTGCAGAAGGGGCCCTTCCTGGGCATCTGAAACAGTCTCCACTAGCAGGTTTCTTAAAGGACTGCAGCTACAATCACTGGGAGATGGACCCTGGGTTGTTTCATGGACGCTTCTCCTTAGCTCTGCAAACCCCTCAGGGAAAGTCCTGGCCTAGAGCACTGCTGAGAGGCTGCCAATCCTTCGCATACCCCCAGCCTTCGAGACTGCCCTCCCAGGGCCCAGTGTATACCACAGGCACTTAGCGGCATCCTCCAGCCCAGCGTCTCACAGCCACAGCTGACTTCATTCCATCAGGAGGTCACTCCAACTCGTCTCTCATACCCAAGGAGCGTGAGGGGTACCCAGGCATGGCGGTTACACCCTGGGTGCACCCAGTAGTCAGAGAGCCAAGACCTGGGTCAAGGATTATATGTGACACGAGTGACAGGGCACAGACAGTGTGTCACAAGTATTGGAGGACCGTGGGGGAGGGAAGATGAATGACAACTCCTTGAAGAAAGTAGCATCCGAGGGGCTTCCCTGGTGGCACAGTGGTTAAGAATCCGCCTGCCAGTGCAGGGGACACGGGTTCGAGCCCTGGTCTGGGAAGATCCCACGTGCTGCAGAGCAACTAAGCCTGTGCACCACAACTACTGAGCCCACGTGCCACAACTACTGAAGCCTGCACTCCTAGAGCCCGTGCTCCACAAAAGAAGCCACCGCAATGAGAAGCCCGCGCACCGCAATGAAGAGCAGGCCCCGCTCTCCGCAACTAGAGAAAGCCCATGCACAGCAACGAAGACCCAGTGCAACCATAAATGAATGAATGAATGAATGAATGAATGAATGAAGAAAGTAGCATCCAAGTAGGGTCTTGGGATGCTTAGGACAAGCAGTACTGTCTCTCCAGGGAAGCCAGTCTCCTACGTAAGCCCTTGTCAACAGAAGGTGCCAGAAGAAGGAGTCTGAAGTCCCAGGTTACATCTGTGCATGGTTATGGGAGCCTGTGGCACACAAGGCCCCTTCTCCATTGCTAAGACCAAGAAGTGACTGCAGTCCTGGTTTTGCCCCTGCCCTTGCTGTGTGACCTTGGGCAAGTCACTTTCCCTTTCTGGGTTTCAGGTTCCTCATCTGTTGAAAGGGGCAATGCCTGCCTCTGTCCTCCAAGAATTGTTGGGCAGATCAAAGTTGCTGGCCTATGAACCCAGTAAAGAGCCATTGGTTGAATATGGGGGGAGAACAGTTATTTTCATCATGAGGTAGAATCCTTGGGTCCCTCCCTCCCCACAGGAGATTTGCAAATCTGGGGCAGTGTTTTTTCCTCATAGCCGGGTCACCAGATTTCGTTTTCCTTCTCCTCCTTCAGCTCTCCACCCCCTTCAAAAGATGAAATTGCCTGCCACCCTACTCCAGAGGAGTGCTGTGAGGCTCAATGAAGTAATACTTGCAAAAACCATCTGGCTATGAAACCAGCTCCTTTCATTGCTTTCCCTGGGCTCTGCATGCCCACCTCCCTGCCCCCAGAGAGGGAGCTGGATGGAACCCTTGCCAGGCCCCCAGCTTCAGAGGCCCCTCCTCCCCACACTTTCCTCTTGCAGCCCCAGCTCCGGGTCCCTGGTACTTTGTCCTGGGTCCTCTGACACCCCAGAGCAGGTCCCTTCATACACTACCAAGCCTTGGCCACCTGGCCCTCTACAGGCCAAAGATTCACCCAAAAGGACCAAGCTCTTTTCTCTCCTTCGAGTTTTTCTCCCTTTCTTAGAGAATGTCAAAGAGAGAAATGGAGTTTAGAAGAAATCAATGTCTTTGGATGGAGGAGAACTTGTTGCATACACAGTAAATCAATTTGGCACAAATTTACAGAGCACCTGCTGTGGGTGGAGCCCTCAGCCCTGGAGGGAATCAGAGTTGAATCAGCCCCCTCTGGGCCACGGAGAAGATCACGGGCAGGAGGGGAGATCAACACAGGCATTAGTAATTCATATTTAAGCTGAAGAGTGTTGCCAAACCAGAAAACTGTTTACCCCTCTGAGCCGCCTCCTCCTTACCTGTGGTATGCTGGCAATAATACCTACCTAGAGGTGATTGTGCAGAAAACAGGAAATGGATTTTTTTAAATGCATGTGAAAGGACTTTGCAAGTAGCGACACACCATCTGGCAGCGTTTCTTGGAGGAGGCTGGATTTGCACCTTGAAAAATGGTGTAATATTAACTTTGACTGTTAGTACCAGAGAAATCCAAAATAGCAAATGACTTAAGCAAAATACAAGGCTCTTTCTTTTCACAGAACTAGCCAGAGGTAGGTGGCCTAGTGCTAGTATAGCAGCTCCATGAGGTCAAGAACCCACAGTATCCTTCTGCCTTGTTGCTTTTCTATATATTGCTTCAGTCCCAAGATTGCCTCATGGTCCAAAATGGCTGCTCAAGTTCCAGCCATTAAACCCACATTCCAGACACCAAGGAGGAAAAGGAGAAAAGGTCTATCTCTTCCCTTTAAATAAACGTCCCTGAAATGGCACTTACCTGTTAACTAGATGTTAGTCACATGGCCGTATCTACTGTAAGAAACGCTGGGAAATGTAGTCTTCCTTCTGAGTGGCCATATTCTCAGCTAAATATCCCATGGAACAGTGGACAACAGATTTTGGGACCAACAAGCCTCGGCTGCTACAGGTGGGCGGGCCTCTGGCTGCTTGCAGACTTTGTCTTCAGCTCTCATTTCCTTTTGCTTTAAGGAGCCCTCTTTCTGCCCCTCCCATCTGGTATCCAGATGAACGAACCCACAAGAGCTTGGCCGGCTGTCTCTGACTTCTGACTTCCTGGGAAAGCACAGAAAGTTACCTACACCATTTCAGCTGCTCCAGAAAGAGCTCTTCCAGGAGCAGAGGGGTGTAGTGGGGGATTGTCTGCACAACCTCGGTGGCATGAACCCATTGATCTGAAGATTTGGCCCCGGACAGGAAGGGTCCTGTCTCTGAGGCTTCTCTGAGGCCCCAGGCGGGAAGGCTGACCCAGGAGCTGAAGGAGACACACACCCCTCCTCTCCCCACGGTGAGGAAGGAGATTCTGTCTCTTGGACCTACCTGCACTTTTCCCATGTGGACAGGGGTGGCCTCGCCAGGCCCTGGGCCCCTCCACCTGCAGAGGAGAGAGCCTGGAGAGGAGCTGGATGAGTTGCAGAGAGAAGTTGTCCAGAGGATTCCATCTCTGCCTGCCTTGGGGCATCCAGGCTTCAGGAACATGGGAGGTCCTGAGAGTCTCTTGGTGTTCATTTCCCCTGCCCACTGCTGCATGGCTTCTTACACAGACCTCCTCACATAACTCAGGGCCTTGTCCTGGCCCCGTGCCCGCCTTACCCCTGTCCTCCCACAGCCTTGTGAAAAAGCCTGTCCTACCTTTGTTTATAATGATCCCTGGCCTGGAATGTACCGACCCCCTGGCTAAAATCAACTAAATCGACTAAAACCGACTAAAATCCTAGATTTTTCTCAGCTATCTGTTTTAGCATCTCAACTTTTTTCCTGATAATATTTTCGATGCCTGAGAACGTTTGGTGTTTTAGCTTTTTACTGTATCTACTTTGCGTACAGAAGGGCATACATAAGTGTACAGCTCGATGCGTCTTTGCAAACAAGACATACCTGTGTAACCACTCTGTCATTTTTCAAGTCCTGATTTCTCCAAATAAGATTCCATCTAGAGGAGAAGCCCCAACTGTGGACCCAGATCAGAGCCTTTGTTAGACTCACCAGGCCTCACAACAAGCTAAAAGTAGGTTTAACTCTGTTACTTGTGCCGAAGAGGAAATACAGGCTCCGAGAGTCTGGCCGCCAGGCTGGTCAGAGGGCTGGGGCTCAGACCAGCGACCCCGACTCCGACCCCCAGCACCAAGTCTGACCTCTTCCTACTGCCCCTGCCCGTCTGGCCCAGCTCACTGTACGGCATGACGTGCTCTCTGGTCTTCCTGGAGCTGATGTGCCTGAAGTGTGGGCCCCAAACAGTGGATGGGTGGACAGATGGATGGATGGACGGATGGATTGACAGGGATGAGAGTGGCAAGGACAGCAAGTCTGTACTTTCCTTCCCCTGCGGGTGTCCTTGGAGGGCCTTATGTTGTCCAGCCAGGGACCTGTAAACTTGTCTTTGGGCATCAGGCAGCACACTGCCCACTTCCTTGCTGAGAACTCCGTCAGTCCACTGGGAGACCAGAGCCCACATATATCGATTCTCAGGTAACAAGTAGCATCTACCAGGCATCTGCTGCATCCCCATCATCTGCATCGGGCGGGTCCATCACTCAGACATTTAACAATAGCACGGCAATACACTGACCAGTGAGAAGGATGCAGCCATAGAGCTGGAGCAGAGTCCTGGAGGCCCTGCTAGGCCAGACATCACCCTTTAGCAGCCAGACAGGGAGCTGGGGGCATTGGATGAGGTGCTGGGCATCTAGGGGTGGGGGGCACTCTAGGGCTCAGGCAGCAACTGTACGGAAGTTTTTCAGTATTTTAACAACTGACCTGGACACACAAGTGCACCCTGAGTGCCCATCAGCCCTGCTTGGAGACCTCGTGAAGAAAAGATCTATTCTTCGCTCCCAGAGAGCTTGTGACTGAGCTGAGGAGACAGGTGAGAGGTTCACAGCTGGAGAGAATCAGTGCTTCGGTCTCAGCTGGCCGGTCCATTTGCATGTCCACCCTTGTGTATCACAGCCCTGCTACCTGCCAGGCGCTGGAGGATGACTATAAGATGGCCCCTGCCCATAGGAGTGCACCGATTACAGGAGGAGTGAGGCAGCTACACAGACAACCACAGTTTAATCTCATTTGGGTTGATACGCTGAGTTTGAGATCACTTTAGAGCATCTTCATGGGAATTACCAAGCTTAGAGCCTTACGGAGTCACTTTTTCTAATTCCCTGTATTTCAGATGGGGAGCCTGGGGTCCACGGCAGAGAAGTTACACACTCCAGGATGGAGGACGAAGGCAGAACCACACTTCCTCGCCCCCTCCCCTGCCCCCTTGGCCCCTCCCCATGTACCACATTTAGGCTCCAATCCTGGAAGCAGTAACTTCAAGGAGGTAGAGAAGCTGCTGAGGGTCACATGCTGACAGCTTGACAAAGGGGCAGGTCACAAAATTATAATAAGCCAACAACAGCAAGAACTCAAATGCAGGACTCTCGGGGGCCACCTGTGTAGGGGCACTTGCTCCACCCTCCCCAGTGGGCCTGAGCTATCAAATTATGCTCAATTTAAAAAACTGAAGTAGAGTTGATTTATAATATTGTGTTAGTTTCAGGTGGACAGCAAAGTGCTTCAGTTATATATATATTTCCAGATTATTTTCCATTACAGGTTATTATAAGATATTGAATATAGTTCCCTGTGTTGCCATATTACAGCAAGTCCTTGTTGCTTATCTATTTTATGTTTAGTAGTGTGTATCTGTCAGTCCCATACTCCTAATTTATCCCTGCCCCGCCCTCTTTCCCCTTTGGTAACTATAAGTTTGTTTTCTGTCCATGAGTCTGTTTTTGTTTTGTACATAGATTCAATTGTATTATTTTTTAGATTCCACACATAAGTGGTATTATACAATATTTGTCTTTGTCTGACTTCACTGTTTTGTTCAATTTATTTCAGAGTATAAGGTGAGTACAGTGTTCTTCTGATGTTTTATATCTAAATTATAAAAAATATGTTTACACTTTGGAATTGTCTTTACTTGTCCGCCACGGTCACCTCTGTGGAACCCCTGTTTCCTGGCAGGGTCGATAGGGGATTTTCCAGGAGCTCTGTAGCGCTCTCCTGTGAGAATCACATCGGGAAGCTCACGGTCAGTTCTAAAGGCTCAGTTACAGTATAGACCAATCACTGATTTACCAAACTGTACAGGATCCCCTTTACTTACTCTGACCAGGGCACTCTTTTGAAGGAAAATGGATTTTGGATGTAAGTGCTCTGTGATGTCTCCATGTTCCTGGGACATAAGCCACTCAAGGCCCTTGAAAGCAGAGATTCAGGAACCAGTGGCCAGGTTCACCAAACAGGTAGGGGCCCCTTCCCACCCTGAGGGGTGCCCCACTTGCCAAGGGATCGTGGGGTGCTGGCAACCCCTGGGCCTGCCTCTTTCTGCCACACTTGTGTCACAGGGCAGTTCCAGGTTTCTCTAGAGATCATCTCAGCTGCTTGGAATCCTGCCCTTTGACCTGTCTGGGCTGGCACAGGCCTGGAAGGAAAGGAAAATAAATAAATATCAATCCATTTGGTCACGGGCAAAACATTTATCTTTCAACAGGAAGCTTCCCGAGGAAGAACAGTGGAGGGGTTTGGAGCGAGAGCACTGTGTGAAACTTGGCCTGTGCAGGCCTTTGCCTGTCAGGGTTAGTGCCTGGCGTGCCCCACGGAGCCTCGCCAGGAGTGGCATTGTGGCTGCGCTGAGCGCTAGCGCTGCATGGGTACCCTGGATCCCCTGCCCTTCCCACCTAGGTCCCTCCAGGGGTGCACCTCCCTCTGAGCCAGCGAGGGCAGCTGATGGACCCAGTCTGGCTCCCTACAGCTTCCCAAGCAGAGGAGGAAATGAGTCTTTGCCACTGAAGCCAGTGAGCCAGCCTCCCTCCAGGAGCTGGGTCTTCTTCGGGGCTGTGGAGGAAATGCTGGGGCGAGGGGTAGGGTTGGGAAGCCAAACTCACATGTTCCCTGTGGGGGTGTCATTGGACCTTCCAGGATCCTAAAAGAGAGAGAATGCTTGTGTCCTTCTGGTAATGGCCTTGGGAATCACTTGCCTGTGACATTTGTCACTTCCCCTTTATATCTATACATCTCTGTCCTTGTCTGGCACTGGCCAGAAACCCTGTGTGTCCTTTACATGCTAAAGAACAGTTGGGGTCCCAGAAATCCTTTCCTGAAGCTCAAGGAAATCCAGTGACCTATGGTCAAAAGTCCATTTGCTTATCAGCTGGTGAAAAGTCATGGTGTCTCTCTCAAGCTCCACCCAGTAGATGATGTCTATTCTGTAAGTCCCAAAGGCACCATAAAATGACCACATAGAAACTAGCTCCCCACCTGCCCCTCTTCCATCTTCTTGTCCTACTCTACCCTCCTTCCTTCTGCTGGACATCTGAGAACTCAAAGTTATTCCACATCCCCCAAACCTCTTAACATCTTAAATCAGAATCCAGGTGATTATCTGATGTCCCAAAGATGTCCATTGTGACAACCCCTATTTCACTTGATTTGGTTAAATTGATCTCTTTTCATTCATTCAATTATTCATTCATTCATTCCAGACACTTCTAAGGTTCTGGGGCCCTCTGTTGGAGCTAGAGTCGCAGAGGTGAGGAAGATTCAGGTTAGGCCTGACGGGAGAGTAGCATAGACAACTACCACCCACACCTGGGCCAGCAAGAGCACTGTGTACTGAGCTGGAGGGCAGCCCTCAGTGGGCTCCATGCTTACTGCACACCCATTCACCAAATATCTGGATCGCTTGCAACAGGAAACACAGGCCACAATATAGTGGTCAGTGTAAACAGCAGAGAATCAGGAGATGTGAAAGGGTATAAACTAGGCTCTGTCTGCATCACTTATTGTTAGAAAATTGTAGTTCATTCATTCAGGAAGCTTGATGGATAGCTCAAGTGGGTCCACCAGGAAAAGTACAGAGAATAGCAGCCCCATGGTGCTCCTCCATGGAGCAGGCCAGCCCCTGAGCTGGCGCATCACATATATCAGCACGAGTAATCCTCAGCACGACCCTGTGCAATAGGTACTCTGCACATTCCCATTTTATAGGTGAAAAAACAGGATCAGAGGAATTATGTGGCTGGTTCACAGTCATAGAGCTAGAGCTGGAATTCAAATACAGGTCTGTCTGACTCCAGTGTTTCTGTTGATTATGGCACAGAAAGGATTCCTTGTTTCCACCAGCTTCTTTTTAATCAAGGCAGACCAGGGATTCACACATTGGCTAAGCTAGACTTTGAGTGCAGTGACGTATATTTAGCACCTACAAAGCAACATTCGCCGTTACACGTTTGCTGGTATTCTGGGAACTGACTGTTGACAATTACCAGCGAGGCTTTATCTCAGGTTATGTTTTGAAATCTCAGCCCATATTTACCTTGCCCACAGAAAGGCTCTGGAGGTGGAATAGACTGAAAGTCAGGTGATTGAAGTTGTAATCCTGGACTAGCAGGGGACTAGCAGTGTAACCTTGGAGAGGTCGCTTTTCTCTAGTTTCAATTTCCCTATTTGAAAATGAAAAAGAACACAATTCTACTTTAAGACTTGGAGAGAAGTACAGGTGCATCAAGAAGCATGCCCAAGTATGTTCATGGCAGTGCTGCATGTGACTGTGAAAACCTGAAAACCACCACAGTAACCTCATGTGGTAGCCAACATCCAAGTTGGCCCTCCATGACCCCGCCTCCTGGTATTGCCCCAGGTGTAGTCCTCTCCCATTGAACCAGGGTTGTTATGCATGACCAATAGCCAATAGCACATGGCAGAGTGATGGCATGCCATTCTTGAACTTAGGCTATAAAAAGACATCAGCTTCCATCTTGGGTTCTCTCCCTCTTTCTTATCACTAAGGAAGCTGCCTTGTTGTGAGCACCCTTATAGAAAGCCCCATGCACAGAAAGACTGAGTCTTCTTGCCAATACCCATGTAAGTGATGGCTTATACCTTATACGCCAATGTTTTACTCCCAGCCAAGTCTTCAGTTGACTGTAGCCCTGGCCCACAGCTCAACTGCAACCTCATGAGAGACTCTGATCCAGAACCACCAGGATAAGTTGTTCCCAGATTCCTGGTCTCAGAAACTGAGTAGATAATAAATGTGTGTTGTTTTAAAGTGCTAAATTGGGGGATAATTTGTTACACAGCAATAAATAGCTAATACATGCCATACTATAGAATTTTAGGCAACAGTTTAAAAATAGACCAACCTTTGTGTGCTGATATGGAAAGGTTTCTAAGATATGTTGTTTTGAGAAAATGATAACCACAGAAAAATACACAGAGCTATATTACTTTTACATAAAACACCATCTCCACCTGCTATATTTTTTGTGCATTTACATATGCATGTATTGATACATATGTAGTAAATGAGCCATCATAATATACCAACAAATCAACATTAGTTTACTTCTCAGTAAGGGGGTCAGAGGAAGATGCAAAAGAGGACTTTCATTTTTATTCAATACATTGCAATTTCATTTTAGACTTTCATCATGATAATGTGTTCATGTATTACTTACATGCAATTTAAAAAATTCTTCTTTAAACAGAGGGGTTGGACTATATGATCAATGAGGTCTCTTTCAACTCTGGTGTTTTACAGTTCTATTAAAATAGTCACTGAATGCAAATTAAAAGAATGAGATAACATTTATTACCTGTTTGTTGGCAAGCATTAAAAAGTTTGATAAATTAAGTGTTGGCAAAGATGTTGGGATAACTGGTACTCTCATACACTGCTTCTGGGAGAATAAAGTGAGAATCAATTGGGAAAGCTGGTAAGGATGGGAATAAGATAATATCAACTAAAACAAAACATGCAGACTCCACACCCTTTGAGGTCTAACACTTCTATTTCTAGATATTCATTCTTTTACATAGAAACATGCTGGAAACCAGATGGTGTTGTACTTATTGACATAAATGCTATACTGTAAGGAGCATTCTGTGACATACCAAAGGATGCACATGGCAGCAGGGCTTGCAAGAGCAAACACAGAGATATAAGTTAAATGTCCATAAATAAACAAGTTAGTGTATTTTCATACTATGAAATACTATGAAACTATTAAAATGAATGAGCTAGACTTATAATCACAATGTGGATAAATCTCTGAGACATATCAAGTGAAAAAACATACTGTAGAATGTTACATGATACCATTTAAAACCATAAACACATTTAAAACCATAAACACACAGTGCCATCTTGTTTCCTAATGTTTTGATGAAAAATCATAGAAAAAAGTCAGTAAAGATACAAACCAAAGTCATAAGGGTGAGTGTCTGTGTTTCTGGAGAAGGGGAAGTCTCTTAATTATCCCTATAACTGAGGGGTAATTAAAAGAGACAACCTTTGTCTGCAATGTTCTGATGTGATAAAATAGTTATAAAGCACTAGTAAGCACTATGTAAGAAATGTATTTAAATATTCATGTGTCATTAAAAATTAAGTTATAAATAGTCATTGGCTCATGCTAAGAAGAACTTTGGCTGGATGAGTAGGAATTCTGATATGTTAACTCTGGCTGGCTGCACATCAGAATCACCTGGAGCTACAGAAAAACTGATACTGGTCCCGGCCACACCCAGCAACTCTGGTGTAATTGGTGAGTGGCTCTGGCCTTGGTGCTCCTCAAAGGCTTCCTAAGTGATTCTAATGGACAGTCAGGGCTGAGAACCCCTGATTTACAACAGCAGGCTCTGAAAAATTGTCACAGACGGTAAGACACTGAGGAAACATAATGATGTGGTCTCCTGGATTGGATGCTGGAACAAAAAAAGGACATTAGTAAAATCCAAATAAAGTCTATAATTTAATTGTACCAACGTTAACCTCTCAGTTTTGATAAATGTATCTATTATGTAAGACATGAACATGAGGGAAGCTGGGTGAAGGTTGTAGGTAGACTTTCTGTACTATCTCTACAACTTTTCTGTGAATCTAAGATATTGCAAAATAAAAAAGCACTACATACCTTGGATAATTGTCTTGGTGATATTTTAACTCTTGCCAACTTAAAAAAAATCTTTCAGGGGCAGAGATCAAGATGGTGGAGTAGGATGTGGAGCTCACCTCCCCCCACAAACACATAATAATACATTTACATGTGGAACAATTCTCACAGAAAACCAACTGAAAGCTGGCAGAAGATCTTTTATACAACCAAAACTGCAAGAAAGATCCCCACATAACCAGGTAGAATGAAAAAAGAAAAAAAAAAAGGAAGGAATTGGAATGGAACCTGTGCCCCTGGGAGGAAGCTGTGAAAGAGGAAAAGTTCCCTTGCCCTGGGAATCCCCTTCACTGGCAGGGAGGTCCACCTGGGCATATACGGTGGTGGAGTCACCTGTACTTTGCTCAAGAGGAGTGTGCAGGTGCTGGTTTGCTAGCAATCAGGGCAAAGAGAGACTGGCAGTAATGGCTGCCATGGTCACCGCACCTCCCAGCCCGAAACACGTGCCTGCTAGTACGTGCAGTGGCTAGGTACTGAAACTCGGGTTTCAGAGTACAGACCCTGAGAGAAGACTCAGTTTAGCTGTGCAGAGACAGCCTGAAGGGCCTAGGGTGTGGTCCAGGCCACCATTGTTAATATGTGCAAAATGGTACAGGTCTGCCATAGGAGCCCCTTTATTAGCACATGCAGGGTGGGATGTGGGTCTGCCATAAGATACCCACTGTCACTGTTCTCATAGTAGCATGCAGCTCTGGCCATGGCAGGCTTTGTGAGGGCTCACTCATGGGAGGCAGGGTATTGGAGCCAAGTCTGGAGGCGGGTCCACGAGCAGTGGACTTTGTTGATCCACACAGAGGGTGGTGGGCAGTGTAACAGAATCTCATGTCCATGGTAAAAAGCCCTGTGGGAGGAATATGCAGCGATTCATTTCCCAGTGGGAGGGCTCCAGTCCCACCTACCTCACACCACAGCTTACAGCCAGATCTGGGGGTTTCTACTCCAACAACTGGGGACCAGACCCTGTCCCTGACAGGGCTGTGACAGCCATAGAGCAAAGAGGAGGATTTGCCTAACAACCAGTGCAGGCTCTAATCACCACAACAAAAAATACACCTCCTACCAAGGGGACAATGACCAGCACACTCTGAGGAAAGACATAGCTGGCATCCATACCGAAAACAGTCCTCACACCAAAAATTTTGGATGCACACAGTCTACACAGGGATGCTGCCACAGAAAAACAGCCTTCAAGACCACAGTAGATAACTTTTTCTCCTAAATACAGAGTCAGAGAAACTTAAGTAAAATGAAAAAGCACAGGAACTACTGCCAATTAAAAGAGCAAGAGAAATCCCCTGAAAGAACAAACAATGAAACAGACCTCTCCATTCTACCAGACCCCAGGTCCAAAAAGGAAGTACTAAAAATACTAAAGGAATTAAGAAAGATTATCAAAAGAAGTGCAGATCACTGTAAGAAGGTACTAGAAACTATAAAGAGGAATCAATCAAAATTAGACAATACAATTGCTGAGATAGAAACCAATCTAGAAGCAATCAATAGCAGACTAAATAGTACAGAAGAATGAATAAGTGATCTGGAAGATAGAATAATGGAAATAACCCAATCAGCAGACAGAAAGACAAATGAAAAAAATGAAAGCAACATACAAGATCTATGGGATAATATAAAGCACACCAAACTATAGGGGTTCCAGAAGGAAAAGAAAGAGAAAGGGGGATCAAAAATGTATTTGAAGAAATTATGGCTAAAAACTTCCCAAACCTAAAGAAGGAAACAGATATTTAGGTATAGGAAGCACAGAGGGTCCCAAAGAAGATGAACCCAAACAGACCCACAGCAAAACATATAATTAAATTGGAAAAAGTTGAAGAAAAAGAGAGTATTCTAAAGGCAGTGAGAGAAAAATCAGAGTCATTTACAAGAGAGTCCCAATGAGGCTATCAGCTAATTTCTGTACAGAAACTTTGCCATCCAGAAGAGAGTGGCATGATATATTTGAAGCCCTGAAAAGGAAAAGCCTGCAACCTAGAATACTCTACCCAGCAAGATTATCATTTAGAATAGGAGGGGAAACAAAGAACAACAAAACAATGCAGCAGTGCTAAACCTACCCTAAAAGAAATATTGTAACGTCTTCTCTAAACAGAAAAGAGAAAGAATCCATAGGAAAGGAAAAAACATAATAGGAAAGGCAAATATGTAAAAGGATTGAAGATAACTTAAGCCAGTATATAGATTAAAAAACAATTAAAATTTTTCATAAAAGCAATTGTAACTATAATAATAGCAAATGGACAAACATAAAGATGTAAAATAGGATACCAAAGTCACAAAGTGTGGGGAGGGGAGTAAAAAAAGTAGATCTTTTAGAATGTGTTTGAACTTGTATGACTATCAGTTTACAAAAAGTAGATATAGTTATGGGTTAACATACATGAAAACCAGCATAACCACAAATCAAAAAAATAAAAGAATCACAAAAACCAAAAAGAAAGGAACACAACTATAATACAAAAGAAAAC